GTTCCGCTTCCCGCGGCCCGCGCGGGAGGAGCGCTCGACGCCGGGAGGCAGGTTCCCTCCACCTCGCCTTCCGGCAAACGTAGCTGGAACCTGCGCGCGCGCACTCTCCTCCCGCTCTGCGCTTGGCCACATCCGGGCGGATGCTGGCGTGGAGGGGGTTCAAGATACGCCGAGCCTCGAAGCCCTGAACTCTGCCCACACCAGCGCTGTTTGCAGCTCCGCTGAGACAGTGGGAATAAAGACTTAAGGCCTCTCTGCCGCCGGCGATGGGTCCAGATCTTCAGTTCCCGAACAGGAGGAGCCTCGTCCACCGTCCCGGCATGTTAAGCCGAAGGGGTGGAAGTGGATGAGATCTCTGTAGAAGAAAGTGGAAGGAAGAAAGACCAGACTGCCAAGCACCGTATCTCTAGCGTGGACCCACCTTTCAGCATCGAGGAGCAGGAGTAAACACGAGTTGTTGAGTGTAAACACAAGCGGTCGGAACAGTAGGATGCAAACCAGCATAAGCATGTGACGTGGAAGCCAAGGCTGAGGAGTTCCAGACAAGCCGAGTAGGACGTTTTAAGCATTTATGGATGTAGTGTGAGTGATACGGGGAGACGCTGAACGTTCGTTTCGTTTTCACTGTATCCCTCTGCATGAAGTGTTGAGAATAGACCTCAGGGCGGGGCCAGGGTCGGGGCAGGGGCTGGTTACGAAGAAATGACTTTCAAGAGTCAAAGTGCCAGGCAGGGATAGAACTTCTGCTTCCAAATGTGACAGACTAAGACCCTAGTGGACCAGGCCCCAGCAGAAAACAGCTATAAATTTGGACACAATACAAAAAGCAACTACCCTAATATCCTAGGATGCAAACGGAAGCAGGCTGCCTCTGGTCAGGAGAGCAAGCTTGCTTGGAGAAGGGCAGTTAAGGAACCACACAGGAAAGTCCCCCTTTCCTTGGCGTTTAGCTTGGAGCTAAGTGCAATCCAGGAGGCAAGGTCTGCGGCAGCAGGGGTGCACAAGGGAAAACTCTCAGTTTTTCTTCTCTGGGGAACCAAAAAAGTGAAGCCAGGAAACTTTGAATGCTGAAGAGATTGGGAAATACCGAAAGGGCAGGAGGCAGAGAGCGGATCCCGAACTCCACTCACATCTCTGACAGACTCTTGAAGCAGAATCACAGCAGTTCAGTTAAAAACGAAAGATCTGAACTGAGACTAGAGTTGTCCCCCAAGAAACAGAGTTCACAGTTCAAATCCAGCCGAGAAATAACCTGCAAATGCAAAGGAAATAACACTCCTTGCAGAAAAATAACAGAATCCAGAATCTCCACAACTTACCATTCATTAAGTCCAAGATATGATTCAAAATTACTGACATAAAAATCAAGAAAATGAATCACATTTTCTAGAGCCCAACCCTGAGGTGAATCAGATGTTAAAAACTGACGGATAAGGATTTTAAAGTGACTATTATACCTCTCCTCAATGAAGTAAAACAAAACATGTTTTCAGTGAATGAAACTCTCAGAAGACCAAAAAAAAAAAAATCAGCAGAGAAAAAGATAAAAGAATCAAATGGAAATTCTGGAACCAAAAATTAAAATTTTAGAAATAAAAAAAATCCACTGGTGGGTTTAACAGCCAAATGGAAATTACAGAGGAAAAATTAAACGAACTTGAGGGTAGAACAACCATCCAAGAAATCATCCAAGGTGAACAACAAAGAGAAAAACGATTTAAAAAAAAATAAACAGAGCCTCAGAGACCTGCTACATGTTATCAAACAACCCAACATACATGTAAATGAAATACCAGAAGGAGAAAAGAAATAGAAGGGGGCAGAAAAAAAATTAAAGAAATGAAAAATTCCCCAAATTTGATGAAAGACAGAAATTTGCACGTACAAAATGCTAAATGTATACCAAGTGAAATCAACATGATGAAGTCCCTGCTGAAGTCAAACTGTTGAAAACCAGATAAAAGCTTGAATGTATTTCTTTTAATGCATTACATACAGGGAGAAGTACATCCCATTCAGTGATGTAAAACCTCACGTGAAGATTCATAAATTGCCCTAGAATGTACCGCATTTGAATGAAGTCACTAACCTTTGCCTCTACAAAGTAGCTGCTAAGCCCTGAAGAAGCGAATGACACTGAAATTAGTAAGCTCCTTGAAGCACGGAACACTGACACTAATTCAAGTAATTAGAGGTGAGTAAATCTTTCTGTCTCACCTCTAAAGGTTCCAATCAGTTCAGATAATGGTTTTTATAGAAGCATTTAAAAGCATTTTGTTCCTCATATGTGGGGAAATTTTATAAAGCCATAAGGCGATCCAATGGAATTAGGTACTATGAGAACAAATACTGTGGGAATAAAGGGAAGATTTTAGCTTAAGTTTAAGGGAAAAAAGTGGGGGAGGGGTGTTTTATGGAATCCCCAAAGTATGAGGAAAGAACCATTAACTGTAAAAAGCAACATGCTAATGGTATCCTTAGGCAAATAGATGAAGTTCTATTGCTAAGAAAAATCATGATGCATTTAAGCGTAAATATTAAATGCTTCTGACCTTTAATGTCATTGTCTATTACAAAGAGTTGAAAAATGAAAATAGAATGTCCCTTGGCTTCCATATTAAGCAGTGGAAACTTATAAATAAATCTTGGTGATTGGGAGTGGCTAAGAAAGAAAGCAAAAGATTTGGAAACACTTAAAGAACCTAGTGTTTAAAGTCTAGTCAAAATGGCTATTGTGACAGTCTAGAGGGAAATCCACCAAGAACAGGTTAGAGTTTCAGCTTCTGATTGATTGAAGAATGTCTCCTTTCATAAATGCTTCAATGGTTCACTATATTAGAGAACCAAAGAGGTTAGGGAAAAAGCTAGATAAGTAAGAACAAATGAAATTTCGCCTGAGTACACTGGATGTAATCGAATTCCGTGTAACTGGCACTTCTCTACTGATTTCCCATCTTGATATCTGAGCCAGACCATTTTATTCTTAACAAAAAAAATCTAATGTCTAGGCAGAGGCATATTAATTCAGTCAGAGTCTCCATAGGAAAAACGAACTTTGAATTGTCATGTGAATGTTTAGTGTGTTAAAAAGAAAAGGCTTTTTTATGATATTGTATAAGACAATGATCTCAAACTGAAAAATGTAGGCTAGTGTTCTGGATCAGCTTTTTAATTCATTGGTCGTGAGAATTCTCATATATATCTTGTTCCTTCTTTTGTACACGAAGCATACAATTTCCCATTCTCCGTGTTTCAAGAATAGGTGAAATGTTTTTAGTAAAATATTAAGAATGCTGTGATGTTTTAGTATTTGTATGCATGAGTATGTGTGAAAGATTTCATACGTATAAGAAAAGAATTTAGAATAATCAAAATGTGTCCTCTCCAGTTTCTCATAAATTTAAGACTACAATCTAAATTCCCCATTTACAAAATCAGAATATAGTATATTTAATTTTTTTAAAAGATACTACTTACATTTGGAACGCAAAAAAAAAAAACACCCAACAACAAAAATAAGGTACCTAGGATAAAGATGAGCAAGCCCTTTTTTGAGAACATTATAAACGTCATTGAAGTATGTCTGTCCATTTATTTAGGCCTTTTGTAATGATCTTCAATAACACTTATAGATCAGTTTGGGGCAAATTGCCATCTTTACAGTACTGATCTATAAATTCTAGCAATTTCATAGTCCCAACAGGGATATTCCTAATGCTTCATAAACTGATTCTGAAATGTGGGCCCAGAGGGCCAAAAATGACCAAGATCTTTCTGATGAACAAACTGGGAGAATATGTGATACTTTTGTAGGGATAGATAAACCAATGAAACCAAGTAGAGAGTCATACAAATATGGACAGGGATGACTTTGCAGATGAAATGCAGAGTTGAGGCAATGAATACTCACACACACACACACACACACACACACACACACACACACACACACACACACACACACACACACACACACACACACATATACACACACACGCATGACACTGGATCCCTAATTGTACCATAAACAAAATCTGATTTCTTCTCCCCCCTCTTTTTAAAAAATTGAGATATAGTTGATTTACAATTTTATATTAGTTTCAGGTGTACAACATAGTGATTCAATATTTTTATACATTATACTCCATTTAAAATTGTTATAAAATAATGGCTGTATTTCCCTGTGCTGTACAATATATCCTAGTAGGTTATTTATTTTATACACAGTAGTTTGTACCTCTTAATCTCATATCCCCTTCTTCCTTCTCCCCACTGGTAACCACTAGTTTGTTCTCTATATCTATGAGTCTGTTTCTGTTTTGTTATATTCATTTGCTTGTTTTATTTTTTAGATTCCACATATAAGTGATAACATATAGCATTTGTCTTTCTCTGTCTGGTTTATTTCACTAAGTGTATTACCCTCCAGGTCCATCCATGTTGTTTCAAATGACAACATTTCATTCTGTTTTTTTATGCCTGATTAATGTTCCATTGTATGTATGTATATGCCATGTCTTCTTTATCCATTCATCTGTTGATGGACACTTAGGTTACTTCAGTATCTTGGCTATTGTAACTAATGATGCCATGAACATTGAGGTGCATGTATCTTTTTGAATTGGTGTTTTCATTTTCTTCGGATATATACCCAAGAGTAGGATTGCCTGATCATATGGTAGTTCTATTTTTAGTTTTTTGAGGAACCTCCATACTGTTTTCCATAGTGGCTGCACCAATTTACATTCCCACCAACAGTGTACTATGGTTCCGTTTTCTCCACATCCTCACCAGTATTTGTAATTTGTAAACTTTTTGATGATAGCCATTCTGACAGATATGGGGGTGATATCTCCTTGTGGTTTTGATTTGCATTTCTCTAATAATTAGCAATGTTGAGCATCTTTTCATGCACCTATTGGCCACACATATGTCATTTTTTTTTTTGCAAAAGTGTCTATTACAGTCTTCTGACTAAATTAGGCAACAGATCCAAAAAAAAAAAAAAGATTGCTACAATTTACATCAAAGAGTGTTCTGCCTAAGTTTTCTTCTAGGAGTTCTATGGTTTCTGGTCTTACCTGTAGGTCTTTAACCCATTTTGAGTTTATTTTAGTGTATGGTATGAGAAAATGTTCTAATTTCATTTTTCTGCATGTAGCTGTCCAGTTTTCCAGCACCACTTATTGAAGAGACTGTCTTTTCCCCATTGTATATTTTTGCCTTCTTTTTCATAGAATTCATTGACCATGGGTGTGTGGGTTTATTTCTGAGCTCTCTATTTTGTTCCGTTGATCTATGTGTCTATTTTGGGGCCAGTTCAATACTCTTTAGATGACTGTAAATTGTAGTATAGTCTGAAGTCAAGGGGTGTGATACCTCCGGTTCTCCAGAATCTTCTTTCTCAAGATTGTTTTTGCTATTTGGGGTCTTTTGTGTTTCCATACACATTTTAAAATTACTTGTTCTAGTTCTGTGAAAAATGCCATTGATATTTTGATAGAGATGTTATTGAACTTGTAGATTTCCTTTGGAAGGTTGTGCCCTTTGACCGCTTTCACCCATTTCCCTCGTCCCACTCCCCATCCGCCACCAGCAGACTCTTTGTTTCTGAGCTTGGCTTTTTCAGATTCCATATATAAGAGTTCATATAATATTAACCTTTTTTCTGTCTGACTTATTTCCCTTAGCATAATGCCCTGAAATTTCATCCATGTTGTCACAAATGGAAGGATTTGCCCCTTCTTTTTTATGACTGATATATATCACATTTTCTTACTCATTTATACATCAACAGACATGTAGCTTTCCATGTCTTGGCTACTATAGATAATGCTACAGTGAACATGGGGGTGCAGATGTGTCTTCAAGATAGTAATTTCAGTATTTCAGTTTCTTCAGATCTATAGAAGTGGAATTCCTGGATCGTATGGTAGTTCTATTTTAAATCTTTTAAGAAATGTCCATATGGCTTTCCATAGTGACTGTACCAGCTTTTATTTCCACCAGCAGTGTACAAGTGTTACCTTTTCTTCACATCCTTGTCAGCATTTACCTCTTCTCTTTGATAATAGTCATTCATAATAGATGTGAGGTGATATGTCCATGTGGTTTTGATTTGCATTTTCCTGACGATTAGTGATGATTAGCACCTTTTGACATACCTGTTGGCCATTTGTATATCTTCTTTGGGAAACTGTCTATTTGGGTCTTTTGCCATTTTTTAAATAGGCTTATTTGGTTTTGTTGTTGGTGTTGGTGGTTGGGTTTTTTGTTTCTTGTTTGTTTGTTTTTACTATTGCAGTGCATGAATTTCTTGTTTTTCGTTATTTTTTAATTGAAGTATAGTCAATTAAAAATGTGTTAGTTTCTGGTATACAGCAAAGTGATTCAGTTTATATATATATATGTATATTATATATATATATATTCCTTTTCATAATAGGTTATTACAAGATATTGAATATGGTTCCCTGTGTTGCACAGTAGAACCTTGTTGTTTATTTATTTTGTATATGGTAGTTAGTATCTGCAAGTCCTGAACTCCCAATTTATCCTTCCCTCCTTTTCCTTGGTAACCATAAGTTTGTTTTCTATGTTTGTGAGTCTTTTTCTGTCTTGTAAAAAGTTCATTTGTGCCATTTTTTTTAGATTCCACATATAAGTGATATCATATATTTGTCTTCCTCTTTTTGGCTTACTTCACTTAGTAATGATAACCTCTAGGTCCATCCATGTTGCCGTAAATGGCATTATTTCATTGTTTTTACAGCTGAGTAATATTCCATTGTGTGTATGTGTATATCTATCTATCTACACCACAGCTTCTTTATCCAGTCATCTGTTAAAGGACATTTAGGTTGCTTCCATGTATTGGCTTTTGTATATAGTGCTGCTATGAACATTGGGGTGCATGTATCTTTTTGAATTAGTTTCCTCCAGATACATGTCCAGGAGTGGGATTGTTGGATCATATGGTAAGTCTGTTTTTAGTTTTTTAAGGAATCTCCATACTGTTTTCCACAGTGGCTGCACCAATTTGCATTCCCACCAGCAGTGTAGGAGGGTTCCGTTTTCTCTACACCCTCTCAGCATTGATCATTTGTGGACTTTTTAACGATGGCCATTCTGACCCTAGTGAGATGACACCTCATTATAGTTTTGATTTGCACTTCTCTGATGATTAGTGATACC